CGTACACCAAGTGATCTACAACTAGAGAGGTAAATAGTCTCTCCCAATCAATCTAGACGCTGCTAGGAAACCATCACAGAAGAAACTATAGCATAAAACTCAATAAAACATAAACCTAATCCCTATATAAGCCCCTACTCTTCCCTCCTATTTAGCCCTAAAAGATCTTGATTGGAAACACTTGAAGATCTCAAGTGAAACCTAACGATCTTGACAAAAACAATGAGAACAATCAATCAATCCAAAAGAAAAAACGGAAAAATAGTAATTTTTATTGGAATAATCAAACTGACGGAAGGAAAATAATAACAAGATACAAGTGATCCTCTATTTGAGAGGAGAATCTATCTCTCCCAAATCTCTAGATGCCACTAGAGCCTAAAGACCTAAACCTAAGAGATCTCAAATTCAACCAAGTTCAAGATGCCCTAACCTCAGGAAAATAAACTATTTAATGCATACAATCCAAAAGGAAATCTCTAAACAGTCCCTACATTCAAATTTCTCTCCTAACTCTATCAAAAATCCTTCCTAAACAGCTCCCTTGGACCTTGGCGTATGTTCAGTGTGTACAGGAGAGGAAGAGCTTCCATCTCTGTTTCGCCTGTGCCGGTCCCATATGGACCGACTGGATCGGTCCAATGAATCGGTCTAACAGATTTTTCTTGCCTACTTCGCAGATGATATAATGCTAATGGAGAGTACTTAATTGAAACAATGGAAAAGTTGAAACAATGGTGAGGAGTCTAGCCATATACTTATCTCTACCCAACTCAAAATATAAATAATAAAATTGAACAAGTTGATCGAACGTACAACTCATTTGTTGGAATAATACTAATGATAATAACATATTCTAAGGTTGAATCCATCATGGATCTTCTTACTTCTTTAATTGTATAATAACATATTCTAAGGTTGAATCCATCATGGATCTTCTTACTTCTTTAATTGTTGGGTTATTCCATGTTGGGAATGAATCCATGCATGTTTAGCTTCTAGCATCATGAATCCTCATTCTCTAGTCAATCAACCTGCAAAGAACATCCTGTAGGTTTTTATTCCTTTAAGTTTCAGGACTTGATTTTCAGCAGCTATTTTGATGAGTTTAATCTTTAAAATTGGAGAATTTTAATCATATCTTCCATTCAACTTAGTACAGCCTAATATTTTTTTTTTCTACCTGAGACTTATTTGATGGAAGGAAAAAAAATCAAGAAAGAGGAATTGATCATTTGATTGACATACTAACCAGGAGCAGAATGGGATTCAAGTACGAATGTGCTATCACAAGCTTGAAAAACTATGCTAACAACTGATTCTGGTGCCATGAATTCTCATTTTATAACACTCAAGGAATCTGGACCTTTCATAGCTCAAATAAGCCCAAGTTAGTTTTTTTTGTGAATCTCTTCAACTTCATTATATTTGACTTATTTACTTGGTATTATCAAAATAATGATTTTCATGCTAGTGGTTCTGTCAGTTCTAGTTGTTCCTATTTTTTATTGTTCCAGTACCTGCATATACATCGTCTCGAAGTTGAAGTTGCCTTTAGGCCTTAGTTTGTAGCATGCTCACTGTACTACAATAAAAAAAATCCTTCTATATATGTATAAGTTAGCTAGACGTGTTATAAGGATTTAGTTCAAGTGAAGTGTATGAAGGATGAAGATCAAAAAGTGCTTTTATTAAAAAATGATATTCAACAAAGGTGGATGATATATTTTGCTAAACTTTTCAATGAAGATTATGAAAATTCGATTGATTTTAGTGATCTTAGCATCATAAATGAAAATAAAGATTTTTATTTTTATTTTTATAGGCGTATTAGTAAAACCGAAGTTAAAAGTGTCTTTAAAGAAAATGAAGTGTGGAAAAGCTATTGGATCTGATGATATTCCAATAGAGGTGCGGAAATGTTTAGGAGATGAAGGGCATTCTTGGCTTATTAAACTTTTTAATATTATTTTGAAGGCTTAAAAGATGCTAGATGAGTGGCGAATGTGTGTGTTGATTCCTAATTTTTAGAATAAAGGCGATGCACAATATTGTGCGAATTATAGAGGAATTAAGTTAATGTGTCATACTTTAAAACTATGGGAGAGAGTCATGGAGCATAGGTTGCGGTGTGACACTAATTGTGATGCCCCAGAAATCAATAGTGAAAGGATTCGT